AAAATAAACTTAAAAATATATATATTTTTAATAAATAAAGTTTATTTAGTTTTGAGAGAGAAAAAGAGCTCGTGAGCAGGGGAGAGGTCGAGAGAGAGAATCCCAAGTGGACTCTGCACCGTCAGCATGGAGCCCGATGTGGGGCTCGAACTCACGAACCATGAGATCATGACCTGAGCCAAAGTTAAGAGTCGGACGCTTAACCGACTGAGCCACCTAGGTGCCCCAGCAATAAAATTGTAAAAGCTGGAAAGCCTATGGACAGGTGATTACTGCCCTGGCAGCGTCGAGAAAGCTGGATTCAAAACCAGCGATAGGGAGAACCATAAACCGATGTAACTTTTCCCTGGGGACCTCTAAAGAAAGCTCCAGAATCGGTTAAATCTTGGAAACCGGGTGAAGGTGGGTCTAACACCAGAAAGATTACTTGAAAGTCTGATTGAGAAGCAGTCAGACGCTCAGAGTCATATGCCAACCCCATCTGGCAAATGCCTGAGGCTTCCCAATCTGGGCAGAAAATTGTTAAGTTTCTTCTCTGGAAAGAGTAAAATGAAGGGTCTCTGGAATAGGGCATATATCAGTCATACATACAGTTGAGAGCAGGATATTATGAAAAACAGCAGGATGAAGTGCAAGTGTACATATTGAGTACTGAGACAGCCCCCACCCCCACCCCACATTCCTCTCAGGCCTTCTTCCCACCCAGTTCCTAGAACAGCCAGGATTACACCCTCCAAACAGATGACTCAAAGAGATTTCTCTTGAAAATCCTATCAGCTCAGGGGGAAAAGATTTAAAGATGATAATGCTGGAGGCCTGCTAAGAAAATAATCCAGCTAGATCATGCACAGTGCAACTAGCAAAACTCCCTATGGATACGAGGCTTTCACTCAATTTTTCAGTCTCTTTAAAAAAAATTTTTTTTAATGTTTTTATTTATTATTTGAGAGAGAGAGAGAGCACAAGCAGGGGAAGGGCAGAGAGAGAGATACAGAATCTGAAGCAGGCTCCAAGCTTTGACTGTCAGCACAGAGCCCAATGTGGGGCTCGAACTCATGAACCGTGAGATCATAACCTGAGACAAAGCCGGGTACTTAACCGACTGAGCCACCTAGGCGCCCCTTTCAGTCTCCATTCTTTTTTTTTTTTTTTTTTTCCAACGTTTTTTATTTATTTTTGGGACAGAGAGAGACAGAGCATGAGCGGGGGAGGGGCAGAGAGAGAGAGGGAGACACAGAATCGGAAACAGGCTCCAGGCTCCGAGCCATCAGCCCAGAGCCTGACGCGGGGCTCGAACTCAAGGACCGCGAGATCGTGACCTGGCTGAAGTCGGATGCTTAACCGACTGCGCCACCCAGGCGCCCCTCAGTCTCTATTCTTAAGAAGACCAGCCATATTAGCCTCATAAATATTTGAAGAAAACCTCTAATACAAGAAGCAGAGGACAAAACAAGTCGAGGTCAAATATTATCACTTATCATATCAATATCCTCAGGAAAATAAGAAAAGATGCTCCACAAAAACAAGGGAGTAAACCAGGAAAGATGAAATAGGGTCAAGGAAGTAAGGAACTTAACAAAAGGTAAGAGCATCTTCAGGATGGTGGTAAAGAGATCCCAAAGACAGCCTTGTCATACGTTTAGGGATATTTCATTGTAGATAAGGGTGGGTCAGAAGCTCCACCAAGACTTCTTCTGAAGATGAAATTGGTAGAATAGCTAAGAAATTGAGAGATTTTCAGAACTTGGAGGAAGTGTGGAGATACACTAATAATAAATTATAGATTAGTAATAAGTAAATAGAAAACTAAGCAAGTGACGACAATTATCAACTCTGAGGAAACCAAAGGATCTACGAAAAGTATAATCATAGCAAGTTACATAGCTCACACTAAATGCTGGGCTAGGAAAAAATTATAATCGTATTGGAAGACAGAGAAAAAGAAATGCACGATCGTGTGCTGGTGACTACATGGGGAAGGTACAGTGAGAAAGGTGTGAAAGAGCCAAGATTTATCTTCTGTAGTTGGAATTTAACAGCAGAAATCAAGATGTCATACTATAAGCATATGCTATAGAGATATGGAGGTTACAGGGGCGCCTGGGTGGCTCAGTCGGTTAAGCATCTGACTTCGGCTCAGATCATAATTTCACGGTTGGTGAGTTCAAGCCCCCCATCAGGCTCTGTGCTGACAGCTCAAAGCCTGGAGCCTACTTCAAATTCTGTGACTCCCTCTCTCTCTGCCCCTCCCCTGCTCACGCACTCTCTCTCTCTCAAAAATAAACTTTTTTTTTTTTTTTTTTTTTTTTTTTTTTTTTTTTTTTTTTTTTTGCGATATGGAGGTTGCAGAAGAGCTGAAAATGAATGTCTCTTGGGAACAGCACATTTAGGGGAAAAACAGACTACAATTTTTTTCATATCAAGCATTATAAATCTATTTGAATTACATGCATATAGAATTTTGATTAAAAATTTAAAGAATGTAGAAATAGTTTACATTTTCACAAAAACCAAATACTACATCTCCCTTTCTCTCTATGTATACGTGAATAAAAAACTTTCTGGAATGATCTACAGCAAAGTAGTTTGGTTTTGGATGGCACAATAACTGATGATTTTCTTTGTGACGCTCTGTATTTTATAGTTGTGAAATAAAGGTTGTATTAGTAGTCACTTTACATGTAGAAACTAAAATAAAGCTCTAAGGATCACCATTTACTAAAAGCAAACACCAAAACAAAAACTCTTAACATAGAGAAATAATCTGGGGCACCTAGGTGGCTCAGTCAGTTAAACGTCCTACTTCAGCTCGGGTCATGATCTCACAGTTCGTAAGTTCGAGCCCCACATCGGGCTCTGTGCTGACAGCTCAGAGCCTGGAGCCTGCTTCACATTCTGTATCTCCCTCTCTCTCTGCCCCTCCCCTGCTCGTGCTCTGTCTCTCTCTCAAAAGTAAATAATGAACATTAAAAAAATTGTTTTTTAAATAAAAAAGACATAGGGAAACAATCATGGTACTCTAAAAGGCTTAGATGACTTCAGACCTAGTCCTGGGGACAGTGGAGTTCAGGCCCGCCTGAAAACGTGGAAAGGAAACTCCAGAGATCCACCGCGGCCCAATTATTCTATGATTCTAACTTCTTTACTTCTTTGGACACAAAAAATAACTTGTCTGAGATCTGTGTCACTGTGCAGTCCAGCAAGTAATGCAGATATGCTGACAAAAGGAATTTGCTCTTTAGGGGGAACAGACTTGCAAAGAAGCAGTCCACACAAGAAATGCTTTGTTAAAAACCATATGTAATCATACAACCCAGACTTCCACAATCCCTAACACCAGACGATTTGGAAGCGATCTCCCAAAGAACTCTGTCAGCACACATCAAGATTCCAGTAATCTATAATAAGAGCCTGGTCCGTTCTCTGAGGTCTGTTTTCCACCATGTTTATTTTATTATTATTATTATTATTTTTTTTTTAGTGTAGTGTAGAAACAATTAAAATCATGAATAAATGTGTTGGGGAAGGTCTATACCTGTTACCTTAAATATACTCCTTATCTATTTTAAATTATGGAATTAAATCAGAAAGTGAAACTCACACACGATACGATAAATTTTGCTTCAGTCTATGATTAGAAGTCGGATATATCATCTTTGACTCTTACCAATCTTATCATTTCGCTAAGACCTATCATTTCTCTGCTGCAACTTTTCTTTGGAAATTCTGAGCCCACACGTACATGATCTTTATTGAGCTTCGTTCTTTCCGGATCCACTTATTGTTCAACACCCTTTAAAAATGACACAAAGGGGCGCCTGGGTGGCTCAGGCGTCCTACTCTTAATTTCGGCTCAGGTCATGATCTCATAGTTTTGTGAGTTCGACCCCTGCATCAGGCTCTGTGCTGACACTGAGGCGCCTGCTTAAGATTTTCCCTCTCTCTCTCTGCCCCTACCCCACTCATGCTCTGTCTCTCTCAAAATAAATAAATAAACTTCAAAAATTTTAATAAATAAAAATCACATAAAAATTCTCATGTGGAGACAATGTACCTTTTTAAAAAACTGCCCTAAGATTTCATTTAATTTACCTTTCTCCTAGCCATATAATTTACCAAGTCATTGCTTCTTGCTAGGCCACATTCCTTTTCTTGAAATACGAAAAGATTGGACTAAATTATTTTTTTAAGTTTTATTTTATTTTGAGAGAGAGAGTGAGAGAGCGAGAGAGCGAGAGAGCGAGAGCGGGGGAGTGAAAGACAGAGAGAGGGAGAGAGAATCCTAAGCAGACTCTGCACTGTCAGCACGGAGCTCGACTGGGGGCTTGAACTCATGAACTGTGAGATCATGACCTGAACCGAAGTGGGATGCTTAACTGACTGAGCCACCCAGGTGCCCCTGGACTAAAATTTTTTTTTTTTTTTTAATTTTTTTTCAACGTTTTTATTTATTTTTGGGACAGAGAGAGACAGAGCATGAATGGGGGAGGGGCAGAGAGAGAGGGAGACACAGAATCGGAAACAGGCTCCAGGCTCTGAACCATCGGCCCAGAGCCTGACGCGGGGCTCGAACTCCCGGACCGCGAGATCGTGACCTGGCTGAAGTCGGACGCTTAACCGACTGCGCCACCCAGGCGCCCCTAAAATTTTTTTTTTTATATTTATTTATTTTTGAGAGAGAGAGTGCGAGCGAGCTAGGGAGGGGCAGAAAGAGGGGCAGACACAGAATCTGAAGCAAGCTGCAGGCTCTGAGCTGTCAACACAGAGCCCTACACGGGGCTTGAACTCACAGACTGTGAGATCATGACCTGAGCTGAAGTCGGAAGCTTAACTGAGCCACCCAGGTGCCCCTGAACTAAATTATTTTTAAGGTACATTACCAGCTTTAAAATTCTAGGTAGTCTGATTCTCACTTTTACCTGATTGTGATGCTTTGCTGATGGGGAAAGGCTTCTGAGCAAGACCATCAGGCTGAGGCTCTGTTCCACTTTCAACAAAAGAAGGGCAGCTGAAGTCACTCAGCAGCTCAGGCTCGCTATCCCAGTCTGAATGACTTTGGTTATCTTCTAATACCTATTTGCAAAATATACATAAAATTATTTCACGGGAACTGAAAATGCAGTTAATTTCCACGAGCTTAACCAAGTCCTGCCCATCTGAAACACCATAAGGCAAACTACTCCAGAGAACTGCAACCATCTGCCAGGTTCCGAAGACCAAAAGACCTTACCCTCCACCAGGTGTCCCCTAGCAGCTCCTGGCGATGCTCCCGGAGAAGGGCTGCAGACAAGGCTAAGCAAGGAAACAGGTTGCCAACAGACACATCAGGCTTCCTTCTCCCTGTGACCAACATCTCCCTTGTAGCTCTAGCAGCTACACCAATGGGCACATCGATAATGACCCCATGCGCAATGCTGGCTTATCTTCACTGAGCCTACCTGGGAATTTTCGCTTTGGATCTACGATAATGCCATTTCCCCTCCCTGGACTATCCTTTCTTCTCTATCTCTCCAATCCGTTATTTACTCTATCATGCTGTCTCCCAACCAATTCTTCTTCCGAAGAGTTCTTGATTCCCTGAATTGCTGTGGCACTTTACTATTTATAACACTTAACTGACAAGGATATACTATCTTAGACCGTTGTTTAATTTTTCACACACGTATTGTTGAAATGTGGCTGGCTACATAAAGGCCTCATCAGCTGACATTACCTTGGGGAAACTGATCACAGTCAAAAGGCCACATTATCAGTTGTGCAGACCAAGTGACTCAATCTTGGGAAGAAGAGGTAAGACTCATGTTAAGGAAACTCACAAGAGAATAAAGTAAAATCAATCAATCAATCAATCAATCAATCAATCAGGGATGAGATGCTTGTGTCCTCTGTTATGCATTTCCCCTCTCTACAGGTAAGCATGAGACAAGGTACACAATAAAACTGGCAGATAAGCACGGACTCACTGAGAAAACCAAAGCAATCAGAAGATAATGTCCACAATCGTATGCAGGCGACCATCTGCCAGGAACTTGACTCTCTGTCTGATTCTTCTGGCAAACTATCCAAGCTCCCATCTAAAAAGCCAGCTTCTCCCTCTGGGCACCCAATTCCACCCCGTCTACTCAAAGATTATCCCTCACTTCTACTGTCTCTCTCTCTCCATTGAAAATTTCTTCTCTCCTGTATCATTCCTATCAGTACACAAATATGCTATCATTTATCCCACTTAAAAAAAACACACACACAAAAAAAACACCTTTCCTGGATTCCATCTACAACATAAATTCTTTATACTTTGCAGCTAAATGCCTTGGAAGAGTTATCCAGACTCACTGTCTCCAATTTCTCTCTTCCAAGTCTATCTTATACCCATTCTTGTCATTTTTAAACATCTTTTTTTTTTGAGGGAGGGAGGGGCAGAGGGAAGAAGGAGAGTGGAGCCTGATGTGAGGCTCGATCCACGACCATGAGATCATGACCTGACCAAAACCAAGCGTCCGCCACTTAACTTACTGAGCCACCCAGGCACCCCTTAAGATTTAATTTTTGAGTCATCTCTCCACCCAACGTGGTGCTTGAACTCACAACCCCAAGACCAAGAGCTGCATACTCCACAGACTGAGCCAGCCAGGAACCCCTTTTATACGTCATTCTAATCAAACTTGTGGTCCCGCTACTCTACTCATCAATTTTTAGCCCTCTTCCTTCCTGGCCAGGCAGCAGTATTTCTCACAGTTGATCACTCCCCTCTTCTTGAAACTCTTTGTTCTTTCGTTTCCAGGATGCCCCCTCACTCTCCAACCTTCCTCCTAATTTACCAGTTCGTCCTCAGACTTCTTTGTTGATGTTGCTTTTATCCCAAACATCTTAACCCTAGAGCGGGCCAGAACTCAGTCCTTGGTTCCTTTCTCTGTCTTTACTCCTCGATGATATCATCTGGTCTTGTGGTTTTAAATACTACCTACTATACTGTTTTTGATTCCAAAATGCTCTTCCTTTCCCCATGTTTTAATATCCCTGGCATCAGGGTGTTTCTTACAACCAATGGCATGTCACAGTTTGATTTACAGAATTATTTTCTTTCTCGGGGATATGTAAAATAATGGTGCATCTTCCAAATAATGGCATTTTAGATTTGATGATTGTAATACATATGGAGAACGTCCAGGGGAACCTGGGTGGCTCAGTCGTTTGAGCGTCCGGCTTCGGCTCAGGTCATGATCTTGCAGTTTGTGAGTTTGAGCCCCGC